CCCCTGCTTAGTAAAATTATGTCACTGCAAATGGCAGTACCATAGAATACTATTGGCATAACTAAATTATTACAAAAATAGTAGGGTACAAAACTAGAAAGCACACAGACTGGGAACATCAGAGGCAAAACCTTTTTTAAGTTTTGAATAGAGTTGGGTGTAGATAGACACTTGGTCAAGATTTTACAGATTTCTATGTTCTCATTGTGGAGATTTGCTTATTTTTTTTAGTTCATTTATGGTCATTGAGGCCTCCCATCCTATATAGAGAAATCTGTGATTTGCATTAGAATTCAAGTGCCTGTATCTATGGATATACTGATTGTTTACACGTAAGAATTTGTGGTAATTAATTTGGTTTGTGATAGATGTACTTTAAGTTGGTTTGGCCGTGTCATGCCAGATATCCCCTGGGGCCGTGACCAGGGCCAGATTTACTTTCTCTACTGCCCCAAGGCCAGGTTCCTCAAAGCGCACCCCTCCCCACCAATCAATCTTCTCTATTTTTGTAAATATTTATTTTATTAAATGTATCCTAGAAATAATATATATAGGTAAGAGAATAAACAGCTGGAAATCATGAATTAATGATTGTTACTGTACTGCCTACAAAAATGAATATACCAGTAAATACATCAGTCTGCTTACTTATTCTAAGAATTTAGTATTACCCCAAACTTGAGGCTTGAAGCCAAAAGCCAATGTATTTTTTTTCAATTTTGAATACAGTGGTGAGGGAATCAAACTATTGTGAAGTGCTAATTATAAGCAACTGCAAAGCTGATCAAAGAGTGCCCTCCTACCGTGGAACCCACCTCCCCTTGTCTGACCGCTACAACCTTCTTCCTTATCTGCTTTCTTGCCTTCTGCTCTAAATTGCCTTCTCCTTCACCTTTACTCTATATTACTCCTTCTTTTTGTGCATACAATTATGCACTGACGGCAACAAGGCCTGTTGCAGTACCCCTAACATATCATTCATTATATCTTATAGTAGTTAGTCATATTCAACTAGACTTGTTTTGTAATGTTGAAGAAGTTTTGTAGGTTATCCAAACAACTTCTTCTGTACTAAAAAGTGTCAAGAACATACCCCACAATCTGGATGGTAATGCAGACTGTAAAGCAAAATAATAAGAGGTATTAAGATTGTAGTACCACCCTGTTCAAGGTCCCTGCCTTGGTGTCAGTAAGTCTACATAGGTGTTAACCCTGCAATTCACATGGCTAAAGGTGCAAATTGTTGTTAAATCACCAGGGTAGAGAAGGTTGTTTCCGCATATGCCAACCCAACTAGGACAGAAGCTTTTACATCCAAATGACCCAACAGTCAAGCACAAGCAAACTAAGCAGTGCAGTTTAGTGAGGAATTCAAAGATCTGGGGTGCAAAACAGTCTCTCAACATATGCATGGCCCAACATAAGAGGGCACATTGAGGGTACAGTGAGTTGCACATTTTGGATAGAGAGTAGAAATGGTTCGTAAGAGGCATGTAAAAATCCATTTAGTGAAACTGGAACAACTATCCCTGAACAGGGATGGGGACCTTCAACACCATCTGTCTTCTACATATAATACACTTTTAACATCTCTACCTCAGTGATTTGACAATTAACACCTTTAGTCATGAAAATCAAAGAATTGACACCTATGCAGACTTCCTGACACCAAGGATGGGATTGTGTAACTAGAACAGGGTGGTTCCACAACTTTAACACTTCACCTTCTGTTTCTGGACATTCAATATCTATTGAATTAAGGTGTCTGAGCTACCTCTGTGGATATAAATACTATGGTATCTGCTAGGGATGCACTGATACTAGCATCGGTGCCGATACCAAGTATTTGGGCAAGTACTACTACTCGCCCAAATGCTCCGATACTTACTTCCGATACCGGAACGTCCAGTCAGACAGAGAGCTCCCTCTGATCGGTAGTGCCTAGGGAGCATGGAGTCGGCTTCCTTTACAATCAGGAAGCCGGGCGGCACGTCATGATCTGCCTCCCGGCTTCCTATTTGGCTAGAAAGCCGGCTTCACGTGTTGCTAAGCAGCCTGGCTACCTAACCAATCAGGTAGGAGTATTTAGGAGGGACTCAGTGTGTGGGGTTCCCCCTTAAAGTCAAACCATGCCCTTAAGGTCTGGTAGGAATATTGAGGAGGGACCCCATGTAAAAAAACAAAAATAAAGTGTGTGGGGTTCCACCTTAAGGTCTGGTAGGAATTTTAAAAAGGAACCCCACCCTCAAAAATTAGGGGGGAAAATCGTTGGGTCCCCCCTAAAATTCCATACCAGACCCTTGATCCGAGCATAGGCCTGGCAGGGCCAGAAAGGGGGGGACGAGCGAGCGTCCCCCCTCCCCCCAAAATTCCATACCAGACCCTTGATCCGAGGAGGGTGCTTTTCCAGGGTCGCCCCTGGAAAAGCACCTTGTCCTCGTGCCAATGGGGACAAGGGCCTCATCCCCACAACCCTGACCCTGTGGTTGTGGGGGTCTGCGAGCAAGGGGACTTATTTTCATCGGGGTACCCCTTTAATTAAGGGGCACCCAGATGCCGCCCCCCTCCCTTGTGAATGAGTAAGGGGTACCCCTACCCATTCAATAAAGGGTTAAATAAAATAGGTATTAAAAAGTCCAGGCTTTTGATAAAATCCTTTAATTGAAAAAAGACATGTTTTTGACAAGTCTTTTATTTTAAAAAAAAAAAAAAAATGGATCCACCGATGGAATCCTAGGGTCAATCACGACGTCCAGCGTTTTCCACGTCGACGACGACAAAATAAAAAATGAAACAATTAAAAATAAATGGAAATCATTTTTTTTTAAACGCCGTCCGCCGTCCCGTCCTCTCCCCGCCGACTTCCACAGCTTGCTCCGCCCAATTGTGTAGTTTGCCGGCATCTGATAGGCGAGACATTATGGGGCAGAGTCATCATGACTTTGCCCAATCATGGCTCCAAATGAGTACTGAGCCCTGATTGGGTGGTCAGGTGCAAGTCTTTAACCAATTAGAGCTTCGTAGAGCTCTTTGCTGTATGGGACATTGCATGGTCGAACAGACCGCGAACATCCTATAAAGTTTGGCGAACGCTCGAATGGCCGATGTTTGATTCAAACTCATGTTCGAATCGAACCGGCGGACCATCCCTACTCACTACTGTTATATTATTTTCAATCTGATATTTATTGTACCTGTATTTGAACTTGCTGCCTGAGGAGATTCACCCAATTTGGGCTGCTGGCCACTATTCAATGAGGGAAAATCTAACATTTTAAATTGTCACCAGAACTGGAATAGAGGCCAAATTTTTCAATAGGGACAATTAGTCATACGATACATGGCAGCCTGCGTGTTAACAGTGATCATGCAGATAGTGCAATATGATTATCACATGCTTGATGAATGAGTCCTGGCTGTGTGGCCATTATCTGCACTGTGATCACTTTAACAAAAACATTGTTTGGCAGGAAAATCAGCTACCATAAACGTATTTCATCTGTGCATTTAGCTTTCTTTTTTTTTTTTTGTCTGATGTTTAACATTACATTTTATAAAGAGGATTTAGCAAAAAAAAAGAAAGCTTAAATTATAATTATAATTAATCAGCCCTTTATTCTGGGCAGTGAAATCAGTTTGAATGTATTTCTGTACATGACTATTCTGCTCAGTTTGGATACTAAAAGATTAACTTTTTTTTCATTGAGACATCTAAGTGGATGAGCTGGATTATGAACCACAAACTATGTGTTTTATCAATGAAATGCCTCCGTTTGCAGCCTTAGCATCTAAGCCAGCTGTTGGCTGGGTTATTGGTAATCTGCAAGGATGATTGTTCTGTACGTACCGTTTATCGTTGTGGAAATTCTCCCGGTGTAGTTGGTAATCTGGAATAACGGGACTTTGGCTGGGTCTGGGATCTGATGTGTGATTTTGTAGACCAGTTGGGCATTTGGTGTTGATGGGTCATCATTATCAGTGGCATAAACAGTAAGAAATGGTATGCCTGTAATTCAAAAAAATATATTTTATGTGTCTAAAGGTTTTATGTGTCTTAACATTGGGGAAAACTATCTGTTAATATAAGAAACCTGACATGAAAGGAAAATATATAGCTGCCATTGCTGACCTGCATCTGAAAATATGACTTACCTGGCTGTCAGCACAATCTAATAAAAGTAAAGCCCAGTTAAAGTCAGAAATAACTATTTAGTAAGATAGACACCATCCTAACAACTTGTATTTTCATAGTCTTACCGCTTCTTTTCTGTTAAGCAATTGTATGGGGTGTGTACATATGACAACAGAAAAGAGCTACTGCTTTTTGGAATGTAACAGATCTAGTCAGACCCAGCCCTCTCCTTCGCTACAAAACAAGTATTTGAAACCTCTGGACCAATTTTGTCCCCTTTTTTGCTTAACTGGGAAAGGGACCTACAAAGTTAGTTCACTCTAGAGCAGAGAGATGATATCTTACTTTTCCCATCGAGCCTCTATTTCATGGAGATTCCAGGAATCTGGTTACAAAATTCTAACTCGGTGGTGCAGGGTCCACCTCCGTGCTGCGTAAAATATATCTCCAGGTGTCCCAGATGTGCTGGCACGGAGAACATGAGGGTATGCTCCATCTCCTATTCTGGCAATGGCCACGATATTTCTCGGAACAGGCCCGTGACCATATTTAAAAATGAATCAATGTCAACTTGGGTGACAACCTAGCCACGTATCACCTTCATTTGAATTCCTTTTTCAGGCCCAGATACAGGCACTCGTTGCTGATCAACCTAGTAAAGGAGGTCAGAGCCTGTATTGCATCTATTTGTAGGCAGAATTATTACTGCACAATACAATTTTGATTCGCTAAGGGTGCTGAAATTAGGAACATGGAAAACATCACTGCATCTCTATATCACAGGGATGAGCAATTTAGGCGCACATGGTTCTACTGGACAAATCTCACTTGCTCCCAAGAATACAGGTCTCTGACATTAGACACAGGAGGAGTAACACCCTAAGGACTGGGTTCCTGAGAGCGGTGGCTCCACTGGGCCATCAGGAATATGTCATACTTCCTCCCACTCCCTACTAGCCCTTGTACCTCTCCTACTCCCTCCACCCCATTCCCTTTTCCGTTATTACTTTTACTCCCTCTGTTCTTTGCTACTTTTTTTCCCACTGCTACTTCGGAAAAATAATTTGAAATACAATTTGGACTGGAATGTACTCATTCTATCCAAAGCATATAGGTTTTCGGTGTACTAAAGAAGAATGACCAATACGTATGTTATTTCTCTGAGATTAGACAAATAACATATGTATAGGCCATACAAGTCTGAGTGAGGACACTTGTGACAAAGTATGTGTGGCTGTTACTCTGTTTTTTCTGTTTAAAGAAAGTGCTTCAAATCAATGTAAAACCAATTTTAAAAATGCACTGGAAAGCATCAAAAATGTGCCAAAAACTAACATAAATATGTATGCAAAAACCCATCCAGAACTGGTCTGGAGATGGTGTGAACAAGCTAAGGCACTGTCCCAGACCGAGGACTTTTTTGTGACTTTCCTGATCTCCATACGTGTTTCAGTTAAGGCTAAGCATGACAACCAGGCAACTAGCATATTCATAAGGATATCAGCAACGGTAGCCTCTGTATTGGGAGGGTTACATTATTTTTTACTTAGGATTTTATCTCATGATATTAATTTCCTCCACTTCTTATGGGTTTCATTTGTGTTTCATTTATAGAGTTCTTTTACCTGGTCTGGATTGTTCCCGGACTTTCCCAAAATATTCAGACTGGTTAAACACCGGCGGATGATCGTTAATGTCATCAACAATAATAGTAACAGAACGTGGACCTTCAACCACTGATCCTTCAGAATCTAGAGTTTTCACCTAGATAATATTTAAACAATGTGAGAGATTAGTATCAAATTGCAAGGGAAACAGGCGGGAAACAGGCAGGCATCATAACATAACAGTCCAAGCACACCTTTTTGAAGACAGGAACATACAGGTAAGTCTGCACAAAAACATATGTTGGTTACCCACATTTATTCCTTAAAATACGGTAAGTCTCCACTTCCAAAGTGCATCAAATGCAACAAGTTCTAGAAAACAGTTCCAAAAGGCTTATTCATATGTAAATATCACAGCGGAGACTATTTTCAGTGTGTGTGTGGGG